GGTATTGAATATGAGTTGAGTGGTGGTACGATGATGAAGCAGTGTGTACCTGGCATCATGAAGTCCACCACGGGAAGCAAAGTACACTACGGAGAGGCACAAGAGACATTGTCGCACCGAACACAGGGTGCTTGCGAAGGTGTAAGGGTTACAGAAGAGGGAAGTGGGGCGAGATACAAGCGTGGACGTGGTCGCGTTGATCAAAGAAGGCGTTTTAGCGAGAGACTAGACTAGGGACCAGGATAGAGGATAGAGGATGAATGGCCAAAAGTTGAATGAAACATGAAACAAGAAACGGCAAGACACGCGGGAAAATGCAGCACGTCCACGATAGTCTGCAGCAGATACTACCTACCTACCTTACCTACTAAAGTAACCTACAGTGCCTACACGCAGTAGCCTCTCCATATTCTGGAGCCCCAGGTCAAAGAAACACTCGCGATTGTTAGTGGACGCGATGGCTATTGGCTGACGGCGCGTGGGATCCTGGCGCGTCGATAACAGCGAATGAGAGACAAGAACCAGGTCGCGACATTGAAGCTCGACTCTCCAAGAGAACAGGTTGAGGCTGTGTAAGTCGACATGGGGAAGAGAAGAAAAGAGAGACGAAGGAAGAAATCTGGTGGATCGAGAGCAAATTTCCGTAGCCGCGGAGAATGGTGCGACGATGGGCTTTTTAATATTAACACTCACTCACTCACTCACTCACTCACTCACTCAATTTGGCTGTGGGCGTATTAAGCGCCCGTTAGGTAGAGACAGCTAATCAATTAAACGCCCGGCGGTTAACGGCAGCGGACAAGGCAAGGGCCAAGGCCACTGAAACCACGCAAGAGGATCTGCTTCTATTCTGAGACTTGGTTTGAAAGATTGAGGCTCATGCTCATACATACCTACGTATACTCTTCTAAACGCCATGTATGAGCCGGGCTGGGCTGTTTTTATGGTGCTACTCTACGGGAATGTTTTAGATTTGGACTCCGGGGGGCATGGCGATGACCCTGAAAATGGAGACAGACGGATGAGATGGTTGTCCCTCGCAACGAGGAACTGGTGTAAAACGCGGTAGTAAATAGAGTCTGGGTGCAGAACACGCTCTGGAGAGGAATATCGCGACTTGCAGAGAGTCGCGTTCTGGTGTTGAGCTGAACCGAGCCACGAGTCTCGAGAGAGAGAGAGAGAGAGAGTCAAGGATCTAAAAATGAGTCACAAGCGCTGGGCCATTCAGCGGCCGGGCTCGTGCATTGACAGACCCAAGCCGAGAACCATGATCCTTGGCGATGATCATGACGCCTGGGGTAGGTAGTATTACACAGTGCATCGCGGCTCTCGCACTTACATCCTCGCCTCTCCAAAGCGTGGCGCTTACAGTGTCAATACGCATCCGCCAATCATGCCATGCTGTGCCATGACCTCTACAACTTAGTCTACACCTCGAAATCGAAGCGCGTCCGCGATAATTCTCTGCAGAGACAGACGATGGGGACGTGTTTCAGATTCTTCTCTTCCTCGTGTTCCCAATGAGAGACAAGGTGTAAAAATGTTTCTTGTTTCGTGGAGAGTCAAGGGCGATCGGATGGGTCCTATGCCGGAGCCCACAGCCGTCAGCCGCCCATCGCCAACCATTGTCCTTGTCTGCTTCATCGACAGCATAAGAAGACGGCCTCGCCCTGGGTCTCTGGTTCCCTTTCCTCTATTTCTATCCAGCATCCTTCATCGTCGGCCTGTCTTTTACCAATCATCCCTAATATCATCCTAACTCTCCTCTTTTCCATCTATTGTGATCCGGTATCACTATCATCATCACTATCATCATCAGATCAAAAAGCTTCACAGCAAAACTTACAAGTCTCGCTGGTTCTGAGACTACACTCTAACGAACTCCCAAAAACTTCCGGTTTCATCTCGACCTTTTTTTTCACGGAGCTGGCCTCCTCATCCTTGTTCATACACTTATAGACTCTCACTAATACTTCTTCCCACATCATGTCCACGTAAGATATTCCCACCAACCACCACCAAAGACCATCCATTCACTATACATATTGCTAATACACTCTCAAGAACTCTGGCTGTCGATATGCCCTTCGACTTTAGCTTCCCCTCAGCCTCTATCGAGCGCACAAGTCCTCCTCCCATGTCAACTCTGCCCTTTGACCAAGCTTTCCTCGACATGGCCTATGCTTCAGCTTCAGCTACTGCTGCTGGCCATATCTCTGGCCACTCTCGCTCATCATCAAAGGCTTCAGTCTACTCTGCCATCTCAGCCGAGTCAGACCATGACTCTCTCTGCTCCCGTCTCACAACGCCTCCTCGTGCTTCATCAGCTGTTCGCCAGCATGGCCCTCTTCTGCTGCCAAAGATTCGCTCTCAAGACCAAGATATTGATGCCACTCCTTGCCACTATCGCATGACTACTCCTCCTGCTCCCAACCCTTCTCGTCACTCAAGGAGCTACACCAACCCCGAGTCTCTTGCCATCGCCTTTGACACTCCTGGCTCAGTCAACACAAGCTTCTCCAGCCAGCCTGATGATACTCTGTCTGCGTCACTCCTGACATCTCCGGCCGACTTTGCCACTCACATCTCTGCCTCTCACTCACGCCGTGCTTCCAGCCTCGACGCCACCACAATCGATCGTTATGGCTATCCTACCTATCGTCAGATGCCCTCGTTCGTTCCCGTCCCTCAGCAACAGTCTGACTATGGCTTCTACGACTACAGTCCTCGTGCCCAGTCCCCTCTAAGCCTCACTGCCACTCCGGACCCTACTCCCAATACCAACCTTCTGAGCTTCCTCACCTCTCCCAACCCAGCTGCGTCTCTGGTCCGCCATATCTCGTTCCCCGTGCGAGATGCTGCCACTAAGCATTTTTGGTGGGATGTTCGCAACATTCGCTCTTGGTCCTCTTTTAACGCATCTGCCATTCTTTCTCTCCCCGGTGCCTCTCTTCTTCTTACCAACCCTGTTCCCGCTCCTCTGCTCCCCCAGCCTACTTTCGCATCTCGTCACCCCGAGACTGAGACTCAGCTTCACTCCATCTACGCCTCGTACTATCTCCCCAAGCTGAACTCAGCTTTGGCCATGTCGTCAACTCGCCCTCTTCACCTTTCAGTGCCTCCCAAGACTGCTGGCATGAACGATCTTCTCTTTGTCGCCAACGCTGCTGGGGAGTCTGCTACTGCTGCTGCCATGTTTGGTGGCAAGCCCACTGCCCGAGTTGTTGGTATTGTCCGTAGCTTCGACCGCTTCAACACTGGCATGCGAGTTGAGGGCAACATCAAGCGTGTTGAGTATCTCCGTGGCCTCTCAGCTATTCACCACACCATGCGCGAGCACGGGTGCCGCTATGGTTTCATCTTTACCGAAATTGAGCTTGTGCTTGTCCGCAACGGCACTGCCAACACTCCCTTCTTCGGCGATCTCGAGGTCACATCAGTCCAGCTCGCTGCCTCTGCCCCTGAAGGCGATGCTTCAACCCTTCCCCACGAGACTCCCCTCACTGCATGCCTTGCCCTCTGGGGTCTCTGCCAACTTGCTGCCGACGACACACCCACCGGCCATGCCCACTGGCGTGCTGAGATCGGTGCACCCGCTGAGGGAACTCGCCGTAAGGCTCAACCCCGCGACTCCTGGGTTCCTCAACCCCAGCTGGCTGAGAAGCGTGAGGCCAAGAGAAGTCGTGGATGGGTGTGGCCTGAAGATGCCATTGGCCGCAAGGAGCTTGGAAAGCGAGGTGTTCGATATGGAGGAGTCTAAGGGCCTGGTGCCTTTAGCAGGATGATGAGATGATAGATGATGGATGATTGGAAAGAAAAGACATGATAATGAATGAATGTGCGAATTTTGTAATCAATTTAACATTTAATTAAAACACTTCAACATCATATTGACTGCATCATGGTGATATTAGCTCCTAAATGAGTACGAACCAACACGTCCAACGTCTTTATAAGAACAAGTAAGCAACTTGGATAAGTGCTTAAAGAGAGGCCTTATTCCATTCACTTACACGCCTGTCTATAATAGTTAGGCGTGCTTGTGCAACGGATGGCCATATCACCTTGACATTCCACAGTACCCAGCAATACACTTCAGAATAAACACCATATGTATCTCTTATACAACTGAAATGAAAAGCACACGTCTTGGCGTAACCACATTCAACATTCAGGTGCATGGTTGCCAAAAGAAGGCGTTATACTTTTTCCTCTATGCTTGACCCATGTACATAAACCAATCTACTCAATCAGTTTTCACAACAAAAAAGCCGTCATCGTATAGGGGTCAGTACATCAGTTTGTGGCTCATTCGAAGCACTGAAAACGCAAGTTCGAGTCTTGCTGACGGCAAAACAATTATCTCTTTTGTCATTTTTTTGCAAACCATTCTTGTTTTTAGCTTAGTTTATTAGATCTGATTGATGCCTTGTTATTTCGTGCAGTTTTTTCTGCCCCTCCCTCTTAACCCTACTATCGTGGAAGATAAGAGAATCGATGATCAAGCTGGAGTGGGATGCTGCCCCGAAGGATGCGGCACCCTATACGGAATTTAGAGCAGTTGACAATATAATGCAGCTTGCTTGCCGTGTTATATCGCTGATCATATACTCTAGATAGTCTGACAACTCTAATGTAATAGACCGTGTCCAATGTGCTGAATTGTCTGAGGTATGTCTATACAAGACAAATAGCGATGCTGTTTGAAGTTCAACAAAACGAAAGTGTTGTGGAACTTGTGGCTGATGCTGCGAATGTCTCCTCAATTCCCATCATATCTCCAAGACGTGAAGCTATTCATTACAAGCATGTTACAACAGCACGGCAAGCTGCACATACAATATCATACATAGGAAGGGGTATGTCAAACCCTGAAAATTCTCAGCGTCTGGGAAAAGTCATCAAACATGTAAATTCATGGGACACAAAGTTGATCTTCATCACATCATTGCATTTGACTTTTTTCTGTGGACTTAAATACGCCTGGTGATATCGAGAGCTTAGCTCTTGGCGGCACCAGCCTTGATGTGCAGAATATCGCCATCCTCGACGACATATTCCTTACCCTTGGTCATGATCTTGCCCTTGGACTTGACCTCGGACTCGTCACCGAGCTCCTTTAGGGTGTTGTAGTTGAAGACGAGAGCCTGGATGAAGGTCTTCTCGAAATCGGTGTGGATGACACCCGCAGCCTGAGGCGCCTTGGTGCCAGTTCGGATGGTCCACTGTCGAACCTCATCAGGTCCGACAGTGAAGAAGCTGCCAAGCTGAAGGGTCTTGCGCATCTGAAGAATGACCTTGGGCAGAACAGATTCGGCACCAACATTCTTCTGCTCCTCCTTGGCCTCAGCCTCGGTCTCGAACTGAGTAAGACGAGACTCGTAAGAGACGGAGACGGGGATGAGAGGGTCGCCCTTGGCGTTCTCGTTGATCCACTCGACAATCTTGGGAAGATGCTTGTTCTTCTTGCGGATGAAGTCCTTCTCGGACAAGTTGACGAGATAGACGACGGGCTTAGCAGTCAGGAGGAAGAGAGGGTTGATGACCTCAATCTGGATGAGAATGTCAGCGAGGGTTCTCATAAGTTTCTTCAACATGAACATGTGTAAAAGATTTGCAGTCAGAATAAAGTTTATCTCACAATGCCTCTAGCGTTAATAGGTGAGGCATTCGACGAGCTGGGTTATAGATTCAGGCCTTATGGCCTTTTGTCATCAGGAAAGCAAGATGTGTGGAGCGGAAGAAATAGAGAAAAAAAGTCTTACCTCCTTGGGGCCCCAGGTGCCCTTGCGGACATCCTTGCCCTGGTTGAGCCAGTCTAAGATCTTCTCAATGGTTTCCTGTTCTTGCTTGGCCTTCTTCTGCTCCAGAGACTGGCCACCCATACGGGTCTTCTTCTTCTGGTTCTCGAGGGCCTTCTCAACGAACTCAATATCCTTGAGTCGCAGCTCCTCGCTGATGATGTCAAGATCACGGGTGGGGTTCACGTCACCCTCAATGTGGATAATCTCGGCATCATCGAAGCAACGAACAACCTGGAAGATGGCATCGACGGCGCGAATGTGCGACAAGAAAGCGTTTCCAAGACCAGCACCGGTTGATGAGCCGCGGGTCAGACCGGCGATATCGTAGACGGTCAAGTTGGCGGGAACAACGGACTTGGGCTTGTACTTCTCGACGAGCCAGTCGAACCGGTCATCGGGAACGACGACGCGGGCTTCCTCAGGGTCGATGGTGGCATAGGGGAAGTTCTTGATGCTGTCAGCACCCCGATACTAAAGACGGCGGATGGCGAGGGGGCTTCATACAGCTGGGTTACCGAGGTTAGACTTGGTAATGGCCTGGAAGAGAGTAGATTTGCCGACGTTGGCCAAACCGACCTGGATTATGGTTAGCACGTGGCATACATCATCGATAGAATATTGTCACGCACAATACCACTCTTCAAGTTGTTTCCAGGCCTGCCCAGAGGGATCTTCTCCTCAACGACTTGCTTCTTAGGAGCCATCTTGCGTGACTTGGCGTAGTTACGACGTTGAACGAAGAAGACTAGACCGAAGCGTGTGGATGGAACGTGTCCAACAGCTGCAGAGCTTGCTGCGCGGGGTGCAAGAGGAGGAAAAGAAGCGAAGAAGATGGAAGATTTGATGGACTTCGTGGTGAAGTGATTCAGGTTGGCTAGTGCCAACCTTGGACGGCTTCGAGAGCGAGAGCGACGACGAAGGGAAAGGGAAGAAAGGGAAGTTGAAGAGAGAGAAAAAAGATTTCTCTTTTTATTTTCCGCGAGCCGAGCTTGGGGAGATGAGATGAGAATTTGTTCGTGACCCCACCTTGCTGGGGTTTAGAGAGGTTGGGCTGTGCCAAGATTCTTCGGATAGTGGGAAAAGGTAGTTCCGGCTGGAATTTGAAGACGACGTCATTGGCTGACGAAAGCAGCTTGGCCTAAAGGTACCAAGCCGTGCGCAGAAGGACCCTGGATCCAGGATCTAGTGAACAGGCACAGTATGTCACAGAGCTTAGGCCCTGTGGTTTTAGGTGTCCGTCTTTGGAAATGCCTGACCTGAGTTACCTGAGGTTACCTAAAGTTTAGTAGAGAGTAGGACAGAGGCAGAGCAACCTACCTTACTTACCTAGAGGTTTTGGATTTCGCCGCGCTTGATCTGACAGGAACGACGGGAGCTCAGCCGGGCCGGCCAGTCCGATTCTTTCAGTTATTTCCTTTCTCCTTCACTTCTATTCATCAACCTCTCAAGTTAGAATATTCATCTTCTCTTTATGCCCCGGGATTCTTTGTCTTGCCAAATTGACGCCTACGAACACCAACCTACAGCACTATATAAGCCTTATCAGCCTACCATTTCCCCAGCTCAGCCCCGCTCACCCGTCAGCTGCAAACCCCAAAGCTTCGAGCCACTTGACGGCGCAATAGTTGCAGTGTCTGTATCAGCTTTTGCATGATGCCGCGTCACAAGAAGAGCTCTTCGGTGAGCAGATCTCACCGCTCAACATTATCTTTATCCAAAACTGAGATCACTATACATGTCTATGATCTACTGCCGGTAAGTGAAGTCGCTCATACTCATCTCACTAGCTTTCATGAGCATGACGCTGATACGTGCGGCATGACAGCCCGGCCGATTATCGTCGGTATTGTGGACAGTAGGCGCCTCACTACTTCATTCGGGTGTCGTGATCAACGGGAGGGAATATGCCTATGGTGGGCATGATAAAAGAGGCCTCACAGGTGTATACTGGACAAAACCCCGGACCGAACCGCCCGGAGGCACATTTCGATGCGAGATCCTGCACGGGTTCACTCTCGCGACAGAAGACGAGATTAATGCGACTCTACAATCTGCCTCTGAAGAGTTCCTGGGCACTTCATACAATCTTCTGACCAAGAACTGCAATCATTTCACCTCTTATCTTTGCAAGCGACTTACAGGACAGTCAGGCCCAGCATGGTTAAATCGTGCCGCCAGTATCGGAGTTGCGCTCCCTTGTGTCGTCCCTCGGGATTGGATTGAACCACCCGAATACGACACCAGCGAAGGTGCACTGTTGGACGATTACGACAATTCGAACGACGACAACTCTCATCCGTTGAAGAAAGCGACGGACCCCCATCTGCTAATGGAAGAAAACGATAGCAACGAAGATGACGAGTGGGATAGCGCGGAAGAAAGACGACGAGGCGGTAGCGGGAAGGGCAAGCAAGCCCTCCGCGATTCCGCCGGCCGCCGATTACCACCAGCTGAGAGGGCCATCCGATAATAGAGTATAGATGAGGCTGTGGTGTTAAGTGGAGTTTGGCGTTTCGAGGTACCGTTTCCATGGATTAGCACGATACCAATGATTTTACTATCCAGGAGCAGATCATTCGTTTGGGAACTTGCAAGCAAAGCAAGCTGTGTCTTGTTCATTTGTATAGTACAAGTCGTACAGAGTATAGTACATTCACTTTCTCAACCTCCGCGGCGAAGTGATATTCTCATGTGAACATTTTCCCAAAAATGTGCCCCAATTCCAATTCCAATACAAAATTCCAGACTTTTATAGACGTCTAGGCTTTTCGCTCCTGGTACCACCAAACTTGATTCTGGTCGAGTCGGCTACACGGACAATCTTGTCTCGTAAGACCTTACCCTCGGGGCTCATCAGAACCTTCAGAGCAGCCTCTCGTCCCTGACCGAAGCCTCGTAGCACAATCTCTAGTCGGTTCATCTTCATGGGCCAGCCGTTGTGGATTAATCGCTCCAGGACATACTTGGTGAGGGAGTAGGCGGAATCGAATAGACCACGGCGAGACTTGCGGAAACCAATGTTGCCGGCTGACAGAGAGATAATTGGTTCTCGGTTGGGCTTGGTGCAGGTGATATGGGTATTGTGCTTGTGAGAGTAGATGTGGAAGTGGTATGGCTCGAGATCGTCCTCCTTTGCCTCGGCCTGTCGACGGGTATCTCTGGATAGTGGGCTGGTATCGATATTGGAAGACTTGTCAAGGGTCTGGAAGACAAGACTTTGGGAGAGGTTGGCCATGGCATTGTTAGAGGAGGGTTTCGTCTTGGACGTCTCTGAGGGGCCGTAGATGTTCTCTAACAGCGAGGCCGTGCTGGGTCGGCTGGATGCCCTTCTGGGTCTATCATCGCGGTTGGAGTTTGTCTGGGAGATGGAGCGAGCGATTTGGAAAGACGACTTCGGGACGGTTGCTCGGGAGGATTGAAAGAGCGATTGCGCCGCGAGGCGACTTGCCAATGAGCGACTCATTTTGTTCGCATTTGCCTGGACCTGTCGTCAATTGATGATCTGCCTCTGGCAATTTTTACTCGCGGCTGTAAACTTCCCCCACAGGCCGGGGCTGGACGGGGAGCAATTCTACCGAGGCTTTACCGTCTCGGTGTTTGTCTTCCTTGACTTTCCGCCCCCGGACCGAGATCGCAAACCAAAATTTCGTCCGGGAATTCCACCACCTTCCACCGTCCATCTCGGCATCTCTCCAAACCCACCCGCTGCCTTTTTCCTGGAGGGATTTGTCTCCTTGTGTTGTCACAATAATGAACTCCCTCGCAAGAAAGACGGCCTCCTCGGAGCTCGCCTTTTCGCGGGCTTCTGCTCATGTCTCATCCGCTGGCAGATCTCCCGCCTACCGAAGATTAGCATCCCAGCTCTCTCAGAATGCCTCCAACAACGGTGCGAGGCAACAAAGCTCAGTGCTTTCCGGTTCAGTTCGATCGCCATTGAGGTCTTCTTTTGTCCCCGCCGAGCTTCGTTACTCCCCCACTTATACCGCTCAATCTCGTCTCTTCCACCTTTCCAGCCGCTTACACCAGGAGAAGCCTCAAACTGAACAAAAACCCTCAACTGCTGCACCTACCGACGCAAAAGAGAAAAAGCCTACTGAAGCTGGCGCCGAATCTGAGGCTAAGCCCGAGGAGGAGCAATCCAAGAAGACCGAGGATGGCGAGAATGCTGGAAAGGAAGGAAAAGAAGAGGCCGAGGGTGAGGGTGAGGGCGAGGGCAAGGATAAAGAGAAGAAGAAGGAGGATGCCCCTCCCCCTCCTCCTCATGGCGACAAGACCCCCTGGCAGGTTTTCATGGAGACCATGAACACCGAGTTCCAGAAGTCGCAAGAATGGAACGAGTCGACCAAGCAGATTGCTGCGTCTGCTAATCAATTCGCCGAGAGTGAGGGTGTGCGACGTGCTCGTGAGGCCTACGAGAAGTCCACTGGCGCTGTTTCTTCAACTCTTGGAAAGGGTGCCAAGGTCACTGCTGGTGCCATTGGCAAGGGTGCTTCTTGGACTTGGGATACCTCCGTCGTAAAGGGTGTTCGCAAGGCCGCTAATGTCACGGGAGATGCCGTGGACAAGGCCACCCAGCCCATCCGAAACACAGAGGCTTACAAGAATGTCAAGAATGTCATTGACGATGGCAGCTCTTCACGATACGGTGGCTGGGTCGAGAAGGAGGAGCGCAGGAAACGCCGAGAGGCACTCGACAAGCAGCGGGGTTACAAGGCGGCTGCACCTATGGAAGAGGACATTAAGTAAGTATCCCTGCAATCTCTCTCATTTGAATCTGGCCTAACAAGAGATAGCGCTGGCACGAGTGTTACCGTTCACAAGGACGCTGCTTGGAAGGAGGCCTGGAGAGATTTCCGCGACCAGAACAAGTATGTGCAAGGACTTTTCAGCTTGAGGGGCAAGTATGAGGAGTCTGAGAACCCTCTTGTATCGACCGCTCGAAGCATCACGGACCGTATCGGAGGCTTCTTCGCCGAGAACGAGACTGCCATGGTCATCAAGAAGTTCAGATCCATGGACCCCAATTTCCAGACAGAGCCTTTCCTCCAGGAGCTTCGAGAGTACATTCTTCCCGAGGTGTTGGACGCTTACGTCAAGGGTGATGCCGAGACACTAAAACTGTGGCTTTCTGCCGCTCAGTACTCTGTGTACGAGGCTCTCACTAAGCAATACCTACAGGCTGGCATGAAGTCGGACGGAAAGATCCTGGATATTCGAAATGTCGACATTCTACGAGCTCGCATGCTTGATCCTGGTGAGGTTCCTGTCTTCATCATCACCTGCCGCACGCAAGAGGTTCACGTCTACCGCAATGCCAAGACGAACGAGCTTGCTGCCGGTATGGAGGACAAGGTGCAACTGGTCACTTATGCCATTGGTATCACACGAGTACCAGAAGATGTCAACAACCCCGAGACAAGGGGCTGGCGTCTGATTGAGATGCAGAAGAGTGGGCGAGACTGGTACTAAAAGAAACAGTCATTTTAACGCGGCGTCAAGGGGTTGGGGATCTGCCTTTGTTGGATACCTACGTGATGAGAAGGGATCGAAGGCGAACACGCGAGCATCGCCTAATGTGTGTTAATTACTGTAAAATATGTTCTATCATGTGAAAATATCTGGGCGGGCTCTCGACACGAAAAAACAACAACACCAATACTACCACGACACAACACAACGTACAACTACCAAACAAAACAAGCATTTTCTGGAGAATGGGTTTGGGGCTGTTAAACAGCAAAAAATGACTACTACCACGCCGCTCTGCTTGCCTTGGGACGAGGTTCTTTTTATGTATGACTATGGAGGGGAACTGGGGCATTGGGCCGGGCATCATTGGTGGGAGGAAGATGGACTTATAGACATGTTCAAAAGTTGCCTTGGTTTTCAAGGTCGGTGCAATCTATCTAGGCGTACAGCCGAAACAGTTCAAACAACCATTGTCCCGTCCCCTAACAAAGTGATACCTGCTTGCACGATTCAATATTGTATAACAGTCCCGTCCTATGGCCACTCATGCTCCCTGGTCGACTCGTCTCTCCTTTAAGATCCTTCTAACCTCCATCAGCTCCTTACCCAGCAAATTCTCACCCCACGAGTCTCTTGCAGCATCTGCATCTGCAGCTTTAAACCCAATGCCCCAGACCGAATCAAATGGACTGGCCTCGACAAGTTCTCTATCACCCGTGTTGACCAACATATCTGCTAGAGAACCATCGATGGGCGAGTGTAATGAAATTGATTGAGTTGCACCAGGCGTGCCTCTCTTGAAACCCTCCTCCGTGATAGCACGTGTGAACTTGAGGATGTTGCCCTTTCGGACTATGTCACGTCGATGCTTCAGCCATAGTGTTTCGTCAAAGTTCTTCACCTGGCGGCCGAGAGACTTGACTTTTCGTGGATTGCCTGTCTTGAGGACCTCAAGCGCGGTGGCTTCGTCGTTGAATAGGATGGCCTTTTGATGCATCATGTAACTTGGAAGATGTCAGTCGACCTTGAATAGTGTATCTGTAGAAGTGAAGGGACTTACTGCTCTGCTGTTTTGTACGTCTTTCTCTCATCCTGATCATCCTTGAAAGGACAATAATACCATTGTGATAGATACCCTGTTTCTGGGTCTGTTTCACGCCAGAAATATACTGGGCCGGGATCTGAAGTTGTAGCCATTTTTACTGAGGCGCGATGAATAAAGATCCGAGAATTAGGAGGAAGTCTTGACGAGATTGTGTGCATTTATATTTTTCATTCGAGTTGGAAGTGCAAGCTGTGACCGTGAATGAGGCTGTGGCTGAGTATTGGCAGTTGAGTCAGACGGGGAAGCCAAGGTTGACTTTCTTGCCGTGGCTTTTTTCCAAATTCGGCTCATAGAAAAGGCATACAACAGCTGTAGAGAGTTGAGAAACCTATATTATTGTTCTCTTTGAAGCTGAAGTGCCACGATAGTAAAGAGATATGTAACGAAAGCTGCCTTAGAGGGACATGTATCAGAGATGTCCACCACTGTCGTGTCCTCCGTTTTATATCGGCAACAATAGGATGAAACCAACTTAAGCAAAGATGAAAACAACTGCAGACAGGCCACTTCGTTTTGAAGCGTATTGGTATGTGATTTGATATGGCTTTCGGTGTGAGTCATGCATGACTGGATGTTGATGGGGTTTAATACTCATGGCAGAGAATGGCCAAGAGCGTGAATAGTGAGGTATCGAGCAAATGATGTATTTGAGAATATAGATACGAATTAATCACAAGTCGACTTACATTACATCGCTGTCCAGCATGTACATCTCCTATAGGCTCCATATGAGCAAACCCGGTAATACATACATGAGCCATTGTTATGACCACTTGAGCTAGGTTAAGTGACCCAAAAGCCTACGTTGACCATGTCACTCCACACAAGAATAATGGTTATTGATATGCAAGAGAGATTTACTAGGATTTGTATAACTCAAAGCCCGTCGTGGTTGACAAACTTCCTGGCATTATTGAAGCTGGTATAATGTCAACTATGATTCTCTCTGTCATCCAACGTCGGGGGCTTGGTGTAGGGGGATCACGTTCGCTTTGCATTGTTTCGAATGCCTGCGAAAGGTCGGGGGTTCAAATCCCTCAGCCTCCATTTTTGTCTTCTACACGTAAAATAATCCTTTTCGCGAACGTCTTTTTGCTTGCTGTTAACAAACTATCGGATAAAGAAGATCAAAAAGGAAACCACTGTATAACTGTGGCTGTGTTTGAAGCTCTTAAACTCAGGCTATGAGTGATGTTAACAGCGGCGAAATCACCCGTCTCCAGCATCGATGATGGTAACTAGAAGCTTTGAATCAAGAGGAAACATAATTTTGTAGTTACAATGAGGCTTCACTGCCCAATTCTCTCGCCCTGGTCGCTTCAATCAATCCGTTGACTTCTGAGCTTCATACTCTGTACCACGACTGTATCTATGGAGCTCTGGCCGAGTGTTCTTTGAATCATGGCAACGCAGTGTCATGAGAAGAACAACCCTTGGTACTGAACCGTGATCACGCCAGCTTCGGGTTTGAGCAATACCTGTCAAGACATAAACTAGGTACCTAGTTGCCGGAAATATTGCCGGAGGCTCCGAAGCCAACTCCCGTCCAAAACGCCGCGCCGGAGCACAAAGTGGGGGAGAACCCCAAGGAACCACCGGGAGCTACGGGGCGACCCCATCACTTACTTTCTTACCTCTAACAAACACCTTCAATCGACCATCTCGGCTCAACTCGATACTCCAGTCACATCACAACACTCAGAGACACTGCAAAGATGGAGCACGTCGAGCAACACATGGCTCAACAAGCCAGCCAAGAAAGGTATGGCATCCCGCCTCTGCTCTCTGAGTTCCGTCACTAACTCGTCCCAGCGCTTCCCTCTTCACACCCCTCAACCTCATCCTCCTCAGCGCCGTCCTATACACAACCTACTCCATGCTCCGCTCCTCGCCACCTCCATCTCTCCCTCGCGACGCGCCCTCTACAGTCTTCAAAACATACAATCCCCACACTCTTCTCCCCTTCAACGGCGAGGAGGATCGACCTGTCTTTCTTGCTGTGCGCGGTCGGGTTTTCGACGTCTCGCCTGGTCGTAACTTCTACGGCCCTGGTGGCCCTTACAGCAACTTTGCCGGTCGGGATGCGAGTCGAGGCCTTGCGTGTGGAAGCTTTGATGAGGACATGTTGACTAAGGACCTGGATGGCCCGCTTGATAAGCTGGAGGGACTCGATGCGGAGCAGATGGAGGCGCTCCAGGGCTGGGAGGAGAGATTCTTGGAGAAGTACAACGTTGTTGGAAAGCTGGTTTCTGTGCAGGACTACGAGTCCCAGAAGGCTTAAGAGGCTAACTACCAGAGATTCTTGAGCATTACGATCACGAAGCATATCTTGGGGCAAAAATCAACATGATGGAACATATCAGGGTGCATGAGCGACTCGCATTCCTTCATTACTATAACTATAACAAAGAAAAAACATCCCATCTACCCAGTCAGGGCGATCAGACACATATCCATCACTCTATCCCGACCAGTTGCCTCAACAAGTCCTGCCCTACCCAAGAAAGTAATAAAAAAAGCGTAAAAAAAGCTGGGTTCCACCTAAACCTAACTCCGTGCAATGCCTCCTGTACATTTTTGCGTGAAAGCTACGCAATGTGTCCTGGATCAGAAACCAAAAACACTATGTATATCCTGTAAAAAAAAAAAAAAAAAAACAACAACAATGGCGAGTTTGCCTAGACTAAGATCGATATAAAAAGGGAAACAAAGAGAGGGCTTTTCTTTTCGCTGCTCAAATCATACACGTGCTTTATTGCATCTCTAAGATTGTTGCTGCTTTGCGGAGAAGCGCTGCCGTCTTGGCAACTATAGGTTTGGCGGCTTTCCAGTCTCCCCCCTCGATGCAGTCGCGAATAGCAGGGAAGATGGCTCCGTCGTTGGACCAAGCCTCTGGTCCGAAGACGACGTTCTTGAACTGCGTTCGGTTGGGAATCTAGAGATAGTGTTAGCTTGAGCTTCTCAGTCAGTTTCATAAGGGGGACGTACGCCACCACCGATTTCAATGTCCAGTAACGCCGTCTCAAAGTATGCCATCTTGTTGTTGTACGCAAGTCGAGAGGCACCGATATCGTTTGCCTCCCAGCCCCCATTGCCCAAGACCTCGCGGTCCCATTCCATTTCCCACTTCTCGAATGTGGCGACGTTGTGTTGAACAAGTGTTGCAGCGTCCTTGAGCTCCTTGAATGCGTCTTTCTCGCCCTTGGGCTGGCCATCCATTTGCTCGAGTGCCCACTTCTCGAGATCTTTGACCCATTCGCCCAGTCTCTGTGCATACCAGCCCATATCAAACGGCATAATGGGCCGATCGGCCATATCGAGAATGAGCAGAGCTATCACTTGTCCCATTGCGCCGTGGTACTCGAAGTCGGGATCGATGAAGTTGTCCACCAATCCAATCTTGTCGTAACTTGAGTGGTGAGGGACCTGGGTACCCCTGAAGGCCAAGTCGAGTGCACTTGTTCCTGCGATATCCTGGAATGGGATGTGGTCGCCACGTCCCTCTGGCTGCTTCAGCTCGGCGTGGCTCTGATCCCAGAGGTCCTTCAATGTACTATTAGTAGAGGGGTCGATAACTCGGCCCAGGGCATGAAGCAGAGACTTTCGGAACACCGGTGATCCTGAGGCATGCAGGTCTTTTCCGACAACAGCCGCCCCGAGATTGAGGTAAGCAAAGGCATTGTCACGTAGGGCCTCAGAGTTATGCTCGACATACTCAGTTGAGCCAATCAGGTTGTACGCAGAGGCATCCCAAGACATAAATTCGATGGTCCTCAATGGCCTCCAGCCTCGCTGTACTAGATCCCCGAATATTCGAGCCATCTCAATCATGACAGCTGTGCCCGAGTGGGGGTCCGTTGCTCCGAAAGCCCAAGAATCTCGTTGATTGCCGATGATGATAGACTTAGATGTCTGCTCCATGCCATTGATTCGACCATAAACATTCCAGATAGTGTGCAATGAATCCTCATCTTGCTCGTTCTTCAAGCGCACAATTGGGGACTTCTCACTGCCGGTCCACCACTCGACATCTGGGACGCCGCCCTCCCACTTGTTAGGCACCTTTTCACCGTAACCCTTAAGATGCTGTAGTAGAACCTTGGCATCTCTCCAAGCGAGAGGGAGACTGGGGATACCGACAAGCCCGTTGGCCTTGTCAAGTGTGATTCGCTGATCACCCTTGCTACCATAACCAGGCGACAAGGGGTCACCAATTCCCCAGTTTGTGAGACCTACAGAGCCTCTTTGAACACCGTCTGATGGCATATACAAGCCTTCAGGAGCCACAACACCCTTCTTGAAACCGTCGTCCGCAGGGTCGGAATAGATGAGACAGCCAGCAAAGCCTGCCAGCTCCGCTGCCTTAACCTTGAGAGCTTGATTCTCCAAAGGACCACCGTTTTTCACCAACGCAATAGCCCCCGTGGCATTAATACCTTTGCTTGTAAGATGCTTGAAATCGTCTCTTGTACCATAGTTGGCGTAGATTAGAGGTCCCTTGACGTCTCCCGACTTTGAGTACCCGTGGAAGGCGTACGTTTGCCGACCTGCTGTTTCGCCTCCGACTTCCTCTTCTTCTAGCTTAGCCGTCCATTTGGCCTTCTTGAGATCCTTGTCGTCTATGATCTGTACCGCGCGACCGTCCTTGCGGGGATAGTTGAGATAAACCTTATACTCATCCATCATAACTTCGTCCAGCAGTGCCCTGCTGAACATGGCCTGAACATCCAACGCGGTCGCATAATCACCCTCGGTACCAGCAATATGGGCGTAATTCGAGAAGTGCTGTACTGATGCGCGCATTCTCATGGGATCAACGGTACGCAGCAAATGGGCTCTGAGGTCCTCGGGGTTGAAACGGAAGCCACCTCCTAATCGATCTGACAAACCACCAAACATATCGCTGGCGAAGAGCAGATAGAAAAATCCCAGTATAATTGTAAGTGCCAAAATGCGCACAAAGAATAAGATGATGGTTGTTTTGTCCACCTTCGGAATGTTCCACCTCCTCGTTGCCTGGCTTGGCGTCTCCTCATTCTCATCCGTGGCATTCTCGGCGTTGTCGGCAGCTGGCGCATCAGCTCGTTGAGGT